TTGTTGCAGGTGCTGGGGCAAGTGCTGGTGAAGGAGCTTGTATGCCTCATGTTGCGGCTGCAAAGGTTGCAAAAGAGTGTTTGTTAGCTGCAATCAGATCAGATCCTAGGGCTGCACATATCTGTGAATCTTGCTAATGACTACTATTTGGCTGGTGATCATAGAAGTGTTGGAAAGTGCCTGGAGAAGGTAGCAAAACTGGAGCCTAATTGCATGTCAACTCAATATGTTGTTGCGCTTCATCGTATCAAGTATGCAGAAAAGTCTCAAGATCCCACTGAACAACTTTCATGGGCTGCAAATGAAATGGCTTCAATACTCAGAGAAGGGAACTCTGCAACAATTGAGCTTCAGATAGCATGGGCAGGACTTGCCATGGTTCACAAGGCTCAGCATGAAATTGCAGCAACATTTGAAACTGGACATAATGATTTGACAGAAGTGGAAGARCGAGCTCTGTACACACTAAAGCAGGCAATAGAAGAGGATCCAGATGATGCAGTTCAGTGGCACCAGCTTGGCCTTCACAATCTTTGTACTCTACGGTTCAAGACATCTCAGAAGTACCTTAAGGCTGCAGTTGCCCGCGGCAAAGAATGCAGCTATGCATGGTCAAATCTTGGTATCTCACTGCAGCTATCTGAGGATGAACCCTCTTCATTGGAACCCGATCCGGGGGGGCAAAATCATTCCACCTATCCTGGATTCCTTTGACTGTGTTTCAAGACACCTATCCTGAATTCGAGCTTGAGGACAAGCTCTTAGTCCAGGAAGGGAGTAATGTTGTGGATGCTCTTACAGCCGCTAACAGCAGTAGTGATGGACAGCAGCAGTAATGGGCGATTAATTCAGAGTTCCTATCTTATCTTATTCAGTATTCCTATATGTTAGCTAGTTACAGTGTCCCTATCCTATCCTATCTAGCTGGATACAGTTCTATCTTATCTATTCAGCATTCTTATCTTATCTGTTTTCAGTAGTAGGATTAGTAGGKAGTCTTATCTATTCAGTGTTCTTATCTTATCTTATCTGTTTCCAGTAGTAGGATTAGTAGGGAGTCTTATCTATTCAGTGTTCTTATCTTATCTGTTTAGTAGTATAGATTAGTATAAAGTCTTCCTAAAAGTAGGACTCTTATCTCTTGTAATCTCCTATTTAAGGAGCTGATAATATTCAATAAAGGCATCGAAAATTTCAGTCAAGAAAGAGCAAAGGAGAGTTGGTGATCTCTTGAACAAATCACCATAAGGCGCCAAGATTGGTTCCTCAAGAAAAGGGAGGAACAAGGGAAAACAGGAGGTTTTCCCCGTGGACCGACCCGTGACGAGATCCTATTCGCGGGCCCATAACATTAACCCACAATCTTCACCTCCCCCCCATAGTTTTCAAGGCGCCAAGGCAAGGCTAGGCGACCACAAGGCACCCAGGCGCCTAGGCATTGGAATTTTAAAATGTTAATTTTCTTGAGTTTCTACTTTATATATGCTTTTCTAAGCTATTTTATTGGTTTTGTGTGCTAACTAGCAAGCATGTACACTAACTATTAACTGAAAAAAAAAAATAAGTGCAGGAACTAGGAAGGGAGGAGAGGAGTATAGGGGCGGAAGAAGAGGAAGAAGAAGAAGTATAGGGCAATAGGGGCAAGGAGGAGTATAGGACCCTGTTTTTTCAAAAAAAAAAAAAGGGACTGAGACTATCGACTGAGAACAGTCAAGGGCAGAGAGGAGTATAGGGGTGGAGACTCTGTTTTTTCAAAAAAGAAAAGGAACTGAGACTAGGACTAGCGACTGAGAACAATCAAGAAGAAGAACGAGTGGAGCTATGGAGGAAGGGAGGAGTATAGGGCCGGAGCCCCTGTTTTTTCGAAAAAAAAAAAAGCAAAAAATGACTGAAGCTGGGCTGGGGCATGAAGAAGAGAAGAACTTACCTGCTGAAGCTGAGGTGCGATGGAGTTGGGCTGGGGCATGAAGTCTTCGGTTCTCCTCCCTCTCCAATCAAACCGAAAAAACCCTTATGTTATGCATAAATAAAAGAAAAAGGCTTTATATTGTTGTCTTAATAATAAAATGATAGCATGTAACCGGTTTTATTTTTAAAGAATAAAACATCTAATAAAATATCAAAATAATAAGTTAAAAAAAAATTCTTAGATATATGTAGGCGCTCGCCTAGTTGCCTAGGTGCCCGCTTAAGTCTCTGGGCGGGCGCTTAGTATACAAAATCCGAGGCGTTCGGGCAAGGCGACCATGGAAAACCGCCTAGTCGCCTTGACAACTATGCTCTCCCCCAAAACAACTCTCTCTAGAATATCCAAAAGAAATGACCAATCAACAAAGTCGTAGGCCTTCTCTAGATCCAACTTACACACCAAGCCTTGTCCACCCTTTTCCTTCTTTCTACTACGCACTCATTTGCTACCAAGATCTGATAATTATTTGTCTCCCTTCCACAAAAGCTCCTTGATATTGTGAGATTACCAATGGTGACACCTTCTTTAGTCTCCTAGTAAGAATTTTTGCAATGATTTTGTAGATGCTTCCCACTAGGCTTATTGGTCTAAAGTCCTTTGTTGTTCTTGCATCCTTTTTCTTGGGATAAAGGCTATGAAAGTTGAATTTATTCCTCGAGAAATTTCCCCATCTTGATAGAACTCAATGAAAACCTCCAACAAATCACCCTTGGTAATATCCCAACACTCATGAAAGAAAGCCATTAAGAAACCATCTGGCCCTGGAGCTTTGGAACTTTCCATTGAAAATTATTGCCTCTCTAATCTCTTCAAGGGTAAAAACTTCCTCTAAAGCTACTGACTCAGCTTCCAGTACCCTCTCCCACTCCAGATCTAGAAGAGGTAGATCTCTCACTCCTGAATGCATATAAATACCTTTAAAATAATCCACAAACACCTTAACAATCTTCTCCTTGGTTATTATTGAGTTGGGCCGATTTCAAGTTATTGGGCCCAATCATTTATTTTTTATTTTTAAGTTGTTAAGTTAGGAAGTTATTGGGCTTTAGGCCCATTAGTTTATGTTTTTAAGTTGTGACTGTTCAGCCACTTAAAGTAGCCGCCCTACTAAGGGCATTCTTGTAATCTTTCATTATTTTATTTTTAAGTATATAATTCAAAGAGGGGTTGGCGGCCAGATCTATTCAATTCTAGCGACATCCCACTCTCTTTTCTTCTCCTCTTTTCTTCTCTACTGCTGAAACCTTTCAACTTCTTCTACTTTTCTTCACAAGGCATTCATCTAAGACTGTTATTAGCAACTTCTACTTGGTATTAGAACAGGCCGAAGGTTTCTTGAGATGCTCTATCATGCAGCCCTAGATCAGCCGATTGCATGGTGATATGAGAGGCTGATCGAAGATCTCAGGTAAGCCCAATTTTTGGATTTTTTGGTGGATTTGTTTTGCCCTATAGCTGGTCTAGAGTTTCCTATCAAATTCAGGAAGAACTGGAGAAAAGGGGAGAGTGTTGCTTTTGTAGGACTCTTTAATTTTGACCTAGGAAGTGGCGCCCTAATTTTTTAGGGTTCCTTAGAGTTTTTTGAAGAGGGCGGTTCAAGTCCTACCTTTTATGGAGGTCTCTGGAGAGAGCGGTTGCCTCTTCTCTCTCTTTTCCCGTCCCGCAGAAAGGGAATCTTTTGTGGGAGGATCATCTAGGGTACCAGAAGGGTGTTTGTGGTACCTGAAAGGATTTATTTCATATTATTTCATCTTAAAGTGACCTTCTAACCTTTTTTGAGAATTATGGAGGGAAACAGAGCTGAAAACAAACCCAGGAGTAAAATGAGACCAATGGGAGGAGGTGTTAGAGACCTTTTCGGGGCTGAGACCATCACTACAGTTAAGTTAGATGGTACAAACTATTTAGAATGGTCACAATCTGCAAAGATGGCCATCGGTGCTCATGGGAAGTTGGGGTATATCACTGGTGAGGAAGTGAAACCCGAGACTAACAGCTCCCGGTGGGTACAGAAAATTTATATGGTAATGACTTAGCTGTGTAATTCGATGTTGCCCATATAAGTAAAAATTTTTTGTGGGCAAATACAGCTAAGGAAATATGGGATGGAGTTGTAGAAACCTACTCACAGAGTAAAAATGTTGCTAGGACCTATCAGTTGAGGAATCAGATTATTGCTACCAAGTAGGGAGATAGACCTATTGCTGTTTATTTTTCGGCCCTTAAAACCCTGTGGCAGGAGATTAACCATCTGGAGACAGTTGTTTGGAAAACCACTAAGAATGCAACTGCCTACCAGAAGCTCTTAGAGAAGTATAGAGTCTTTGAATTTCTTACTGGTCTTAATCCCGAATATGATATTGCAAGGCAACATATCCTTTCCAGGGACAATGTTACTCTCTCTCAGGCACATGCCTTTGTATCAGGGGAAGAGAGTAGGAGGAATGTGATGATGAAGAATTCTGCTTTTGAACAATCAGCCATGGTCAGTACTATGAAACCTAAATAGAGTGGAGACCGGGGTGGCAGTGAAATCAAGAAGGAAGATAAGAAGGATTTGATTTGTGATTACTGTAATAAGCCTAAACATATAAGA